AAAAATATTACTTTTTCTTTATGTATTGATTTTTTTTTATTTACATACCAATCGATTTTGATGTTTCTAAATTTTGTGTCCATTGTGAAGCATCAATATGATAAAAGTATCCTGGTTGAATATTTAGTCGAACTAAAAATAAAATAATAATTTGAATTAATATTATAGACAGTTCTCGAAGTTGTAAATTTTATTATCTTATTAAACAAGAAATAATCATCTTCTTCATGTTGAGTTCTTTATTTTTCAAGTAAAATACAATGCTTCATTTTCTTTTTTTATTCGATATCGTAACTGATTCTTATTCTTGAAAGATATATAAAAAAGAATATTGTATAGATAGTGATAAATGAGAAAAGAAAATCATTTATGGAATGTGCCACATAGTGAAGAAAAAATAATTTATAGGATAGAACCTTATTGTAATTTACAGAATAGTTTTTGACCAAAAAAACACACTAAACTAGATGATGTGTTTTATTAAAGATCCATAAAAATGGAATGCCTTTTCGTTTGATTAAAATTGGATGTTTTCTTTTCTTCACTTTTTTACATGTATACAGGTATGAAAGACTAAAAAATCAAACTTTACGAAGATTAAATCAGAGATTATAGTCAGATATTTATTTGTTTTTATCAAAGACTTATTTTATAGCTACCTCTAATGATAATAAAACTAAAAAAGAGAAGACTTAAAAAGTATGTCACTTGTTCAGTAAATAAATTGAACAATGAACGATAATTTAAGAAGGTTTATAAATTCTGTGACCTTAATTCAGATCCAGAAATAAAAGAATAAACTAAAAGTCTTGTTAGCGCAGTTCATTTTGCCAATAAAATATGGAATTCGAATAAATTCCTTAGCCTCCCTTAAACTAACAGAAGATACTGAAATCAACAATATCTTGTAGATTTTAGTTGCTTCTCGAGCCAATCAATCGCTACAGTATGAATCTATCTAATTTATTTCTGAATTTCGAACAGAAAATTTTTCTTTTTTTTATTGGAGAGGATGATGTAGCTGAAAAACTTTGACTTGCCAATTATACTTAGCATTCTCTTTAAGAATATATGTGAGTTCCACAAAACGAGTTATATATAAATTCTAAAATTGATGAAAATTTATTATAATATTAGAGACGTACAGGAGTAGCTCATTCTAAATAGTAAAGGTTATACATATCTACATAGTTTCTCTTGAAAATACACTTACTAGATGTCCAAGGAAAATCATCTGATTGTCAACGATGCAAAGTTTGTAAATGAGGCATATGAGTACTGAGAATAGATATACGATTCTTTCCAACATAAATCGAGTCATTAGAGCCATAATGACAACTAGGAATACTGAATTCAGCACATTGAACAGAGCTCAATAAAAACTAAAAAGAAAATTAGAAATCCTCTAGAATTCATTGCCTTGAATAATTTGATACTTGCATTGAAATAGGATGAAACTAGGCGTCTACAAAGCTTGAGCTATTCAATCTCGGTCAGACTCATTTAGGATCTGACTGAATCCAAGTAAAACTAATGCTAAGTCTAACAAAGTTCAAACCCGACCAAGTTTAAACTGTTTAGTCTAGGTTCAGCTCGATGTAAACCTACGATATAACGAATAACGAATATAAAGATGAAAATTATTTAAAACTTTTGTTATTCTTTACATGATGTCGAAGTCTTCATTAGAATACTATGGTTATTTTCTTATCATTCTTCTTGTTTTTAAATTTTTATATTTTAGAATAATATTTCTTATTATCTTTCCTATTTTTATTTATCAATAAATAAGAATAATAAGGTTTTATTTTGTTCTTATTCTTGAAAAAATATACACGATGACCAGTTTTCAATAATCCACGTGTCCAAATTAATTATAAAAAGAAAACTATTTTTTGTTAAATTTCAAGTAAGACAACAAATGTAATAGATACTTAAGTTGAGCTGGCGTTGAAATGAAATGAGCAAATACTTTTGTACGTACTTCATTTAGGTTCATTGATTATACTAACAACTTTCTAAAAAAGATTAATTTCTTTTTGTAAGTTAATTTATTTATATATTTCAAGTAAAAACAATAAAATTATTCTAAAGAATATTTTCTGAAGACAAAATAAATAAATATAAGTGATACTTTATATAACATAATTATTTGTTTGATTTTTACAAATAGTATTAAATATATTTCATGAAAATAAAAAAAAAATATTTCATTACAGTTGATCTTCGCCCAATACATATGTGTTGGAATGAAGACAGAGATGACTCTTGATAAGATTCTGATAGTTTATTTTATCATAGCTTTCAAAATGCTTTTCAATGGATAGTCGCAACCTCCGTTTCAGAAATGATATATAAGATCTTTCAATATCATCGTACGATAATATGAATATGAATTGATTCTACTATGATTTATCAAAGAACACATTTAGCAACAGCAATCAATTTAAGTCTCAACTTTTGAGTCTCAAAAACACTCCGATTCTATTTTAATATGTGTGTGAGTTGTAGGCTTAAATGGAAGAAATGCCAAACGTTAGTAAGAGTCATATTCAACTTCGATATCTATATTTTACAATGTATAAGTTAATATATGTGAGATCGCACCTGTGGTCAGGAACATTAACGTTAACTTTGAGAATTATAAACGGTATGTTTGAGACCAACAGCATAGAAGAAAATCATAAAGGGTATGTGTGAATTCTATTGTTTCATCCTGAGGACTAAAAATTGATGAAGTTTTTCAGTTCGACATTTGTTAACTTCACGGCAAAGACTTCTGTTTTTTTTTATTGATAGAAAATCTATGGAGTACAACGAATTCGATGAAAATAACAATAATCAGTGAGATACGATGAATCGATCTAACCAAAATTTGATATTACTTATTCTATGATCAGCGCGTATGAAATAGTTTTGTATTATGTTTGAAGAAAATCATAATCCTAATAATGAAATTCATTTGGTATGAGTTATTATTCTTAAAAAAAAATTAAGAGCCGTTTATTAAAATTCATGCTCATGCATACAGTTTTTATACAAGCATGCATTGAACAAATATATTTCGAACAGTTAATATTTATGTGTAAGATGATATTAATCAAGGTAAAATATACTAATACATATGAATCACATGATATAAGCAAAACCCCAAATTAAGTCTTGTCACATTTCAAAGTTGAATATCACTATCAACATCTTTATAACATTCTATATAATAAAAAAAAACAATGAATATATTTTCTCATGATAAAATACAAGTTTCTCTAAAATCTGTTCGGGAATTTAATTGCATATAAAGTAGATGTATAAATATATATATCGGGTTGGTGCAAAAGTCTCCGCCGATTTTTTTTCTTTTCAATATTTCATGATTTTATTGAAACAGAATGTCCCTAATCGACAACTTATATACCATTATTGTCTATGACATACTCCCATCTTTTAGGCAAATCGAGAATGCCATCTTCAAAGAATTTCTTTGATAAAGACGAAAAGAAACTCTCGAGGTCCGATTTTAGATGTAGTCGATCATCAAAATGCTTTTTCACCAGGTGATTGCAGAGCGACCAGAACAGATGATAATCAGAAGGTGCCAGATCTGATGAATATGGTGGATGAGGTAAGACCTCCCACCCTAATTCTTCCAGCTTCTGGCGAGTAACTTTTGAGATATGAGGTTTTGCATTATCGTGAAGCAATCGAACTTTTCGTCTTTCTGGACGATTTACTTGTAGTGCAATTTTCAAATTCTCAAGTTGTTTGCAGTAAAGCTTCGAGTCGACCGTGGTATTAGGTGGTAGAAGTTCCCAGTAGATAATACCTTCGAAATCCCACCAGATCGACAGCATAATTTTTTTCGGATGCAGGTCGTTTTTTGGTTAAGGTTCAGGCAAATCTTCAGGATTGACCCATTGACGCTTGCGTGTATGGTTGACATACAGGACCCACTTTTCATCACCAGTGACAATCTGTTGAAGAAACTTGTGTCGGGTGCGTTTTGACAAAAAAGAATTGCATATGGTGATTCTTTGCTGTATATTGTCCGAGCTTAATTGATGTGGAACCCATGTTTCAAGTTTACTAACTTTTCCAATTTCATGTAAATGCCGATCGATGGTGGAGTGATTGCATAGAAGCATAGCTGATAATTCACTGGTAGTTAATCGTGGATTGTCTTCGATCAGGACTTTTAATTGTTCAATATCAATTTCCAGAGGACGTCCAGACCTTGGACGATCTTCCAATGACATATCACCTTCCCGAAATCTTTTAAATCAATCTCGACAAGTGCGATCAGCAACAACACCTTCACCAAGTGCAGCACATATATTGTGCACAGCAGCACTTGCATTGTTCCCCAGTTGGAACTCATACAAAATGCAATGTCGAATATGAATAGAAATCTCTGACATATTTTAATATGGAATGTAAATAAAATCGGACATTTGTTAATATCACATTATAGTACTACACAGGCGGTATCATATGTGCGAAAACCACGCCTGTATAGTAGCGCTAGATAGCTTTAAAAGACTTTCAAAAAAATCGGCGGAGACTTTTGGACCAACCCGATATTTTTAGTCATAGTATATTAGTTGTACATGTTGTCGGGCAAGGAATGTCATATAAAACAAATTCATATTTATCTGATAAGTAAGTCATCTGTCATTATTTCACATGGTATCAATCCAGAATTATCTTTCGAATAGGTGAAAATCAATAAGTATTATTTTTGGAAATAGTCCAGTATAATTCATTAGCATATCATGTTTGATATTATTTGGGTGTGGGTGTGGGTGTGGGTATGAGGTGTGGGTGTGGGTGTGGGTGTGGAGTGTGGGTGTCGGTGAGGGTGTGGAGTGTGGGTGTCGGTATGGGTGTGGGTGTGTGCACGGGTATGGATCTTCTTTTCAACAGAACCCACACCTACACCCATCACGATTTATTTGAAAGAGAAAGAGAACAAACAAAAATAAAATTAATCATCGTATTGAATTTCATATGATACTAAATTTTTGTACTCGATGATTTCCGTAATCGACGACATAGAGATTGCCATGTCGATCGAATGATAAACCAGCGGGATCATCGAGTTGATTCGATTGTGCTCCTTTACCGTTTCCACCAATAATGACATTTCCTTGTGTGGCTCCTTTTGGCCAACGCATGATTCGATGATTGTGCGAATCAGCCACATAGACAGTATCCAATTGATCGACAACGACTCCTTGAGGATAATTCAATTGTGTAAGACTATTTCCTTGTCCTTGACCACCGGCTACAACAATGCCTTGTTTTGCACCTTCTTCCCATTTCATTACACGATTATTTTCCCAATCAGACACATAAACTGAATGATCTCGATCGACAAATACGTAGTGGGGATAGGAGAGTTGATCGAGACGATGTCCTTTTCCATTGCCACCTGCAACTACTGTTCCTTGAGTGTCACCAATTTTATATCTTCTCACTTCATGTTTTTCATAGTCAACGACATAGAGAGAACTATTGTTGTCCATTGTCAAACCGAAGCAAGAGATATTTGAAATAATTGTTTCTCCACGAGTACCATTTCGACGAGGCCAACGAACTACTCTGTTGTTCCATCTATCGCTGATGACGAGACTATCGCTCTCTTTGTCGATAATCACATCACATGGACGATTTAATTGATGAGCTCCATTTCCTTCTCCATTTCCACCAGCAACTACTTTTCCATTCGTTGCACCAGATTTCCATTCCACAATACGATGATTCCAATGATCAGCGATAAAAATCGTTTGATCATCGTCGACGTACAAACCCCATGGACAATAGAGTTGATTGGTTTCACTACCTCGCCCATTTCCTCCAACTACAGTGATACCATTCTGTGCCCATTTTGCATTCGGATAGATATCAGTGGAACTTGCACGCATTGGTACTGAAATGAAACAAAAGTATGAAGTAAAAATAAACATCAATGTCATTGAAATGAGTCATTCTCATTTGTTTTAAACAATATTGAACTGCTCTCAATTACAAAAGCTTTTTACTTATGAACTTGATTAGAATCTGATTTTCTCAATGTTGAAAACAAAACATGGTTGATTTTTCTTAAATATTTTGTGTAAGAATCCTTAGTTTGACCAAAACTAATTAAAGTTTAACTGGTAACGTGAAAAATTGTGATTAACTCGAATTTTATCGTAAATGAAATTTTCTTTTATATCGAATTTTTCCAACATATTCACTGATTTCGTTAGTTCGACTTTGAAATATATTTAGATTTTGCATGTCATCATTTTAAAAATCATTTCATTTTTTTTGTTTGGATTTTACAATAAAATGAGTTATAATAGAATTTGAACGTAAGGAAAAACAATTTTGTTATCAGTTGATAGGAAACGGTGTATGATTTATGTTTGTCACACATTTCTGAGTGAAATGAGACAAAATAAATTTGCAGCTTTTATATGAATTCGTTAAAAACATCTTGCTAGATAATAACGATAGTTAATTATACTTAACTACCATGCATAAGACGTTTTTGACTGATTCATATAAAAAAATTACAAATTTTTTGTGTAAGTATTTTTCTTTCTTATTCCATTTACGAATGTGTGACAAATATAAATCATACATCATTCGAAAGTATTTTATGTCATGAATTTTGCATCATACTTATTATTGAGTAATTTATTCCTGAATCTCAAACAAACAAGTAGTTTGTAGAAAGACTAATCGAAGTGTTAAATAAGATAAGTTTAGATAAAATAATACGTAAGTTCGAATTTTAGTAGATGAAAAGAACTCAAAAACAAATCTCTCCCAAGTTCAAGAATATTTGAAGAATCTGTCATGTTCATTATTCTACATTGTAGCACAAAAAATGGTCTATATGCGAATCGTCAAATCTTTTATTTTGAATTCATTTCTAATGTATTACACATTTTCAACTTAATAGGATATGGGACACGTTTTTTTAAACAATAGCAGTTCCGATCACGGATCGATTTCGATCTTTCTACAATTAAATATTTTCGCTACTTTACAAGACAATACGAATCTCCTATCGAAACCTTAATCGAAAATCTTTGCAAATTTGTGTTTTGTAGGCTATTCAATAGGTGTAAATTTTTGAGGATTCTCACAAAAAAACAACGATCGTAAAAGATTTCATCATGATTTTAGCTATTCTCAATAGCAATAAGTGTGAAGATTTCTTCTTTAAATTTTTATTATATCGCATTCTGAACTGGTTAAATCTTAGAAGAAAGTTTTTTTTTTTGTTTGTCTAGAATTTTCTAAAGATTTATATTGATACTAACTTGAGCTTTAGACTAGAAACAATATTGCTATGATTATATCTTGAATGGACAGTTACGGAACCGATAAAGTTAATAAAAAATGTCATGCAGTTTTATAAACTCCCTAAAAATAATTTCATCGTTTTTAATTTGTCTATGAAGAATCTAGCTATAATTGAGATTTTGATTAAATTTAATACTATTTAATCAATTTTCATTTTTATTACATGTAATGTCATGTATTTTTAATATGTTTAATGTCTCAGTGCAATGGGAAGAAAGTACATTTTAGTATTATTTCTTTTCTTCCATCGACAAAAAACAAATGCATGTAAAACGGTATGAGACCTTTAATTATGTGTCAAACAACTCGAAGATGAGAGTCAGAAACAAAACAATACTTTCTGCTTTTTATATCAAAGAGATTGTGAGACAGAAAATTCGAGTAGATAATTTTGTATTCTACTTATAGATGATGGCATAGAGCTATATGAAATGCTTATTAATACTATAGATTTATTTCTATTAAATCAAACTTCTCAAATATCTCTTATACACATGGAAATAATCAGTATGACAGGCTACCTTGCTTCGTTTTTTTGCACATAAACTTCAGTCTTATTTTAGAACAAGTACAGTCAACATCTGCTCTATATTTGATATTATATAAAATCCTATTCATTATTTTTCATTTTTCTACACTGTAGTATGGAAATTTCCATTTTTACCTCTCATTTTTCTATATTGATAATATAAATATCCGTTAGTTTTAATTCTTATTTTTCTATATTATCGATATAGAAAAATACAAAATAAAAACTAAGATTTTCTATGTCAACAATATAAAAAAAATCGAGAATAAAACAAATTGTTATCTTTGTTACCAATGTAGAAAAATAAAAAATAACATTCTCCATATGACCGATGGAAAAAATAAGAAATTAAAATCAGCATTTTCTAAATTATTATTACTATAGACAAATAGGACATAAAACTAGCTGTTTCTATATCATCAATATAGAAAGTAAAAAATAAATAGGATTTACTATTCTATCACTACAGAAAAATGAGGAATACAAGTAACCGTTTTGTACTCTATTAATATAGAAAGGTGAAAAATAAAAATAACCGTTTTCTACACTATTAGTATAGAGAAAGAAGAAAAAACTGACGTAAACTATTCGAGTCTTTTTCCCAGGTACTGTTCTTCATCGGAAAGCTGATGGAATCAACTATTCTCGAATAAGGGAAAGAAACAGGACAGACCATAGACGATCAGATGCTAACAGGCAAGATCTACATTATGTACAGTGTATGTTTCTTTTTTTGGATCTTATATGATCTGTTAAGATCTGACAAGAAGGATCCAGTCTGTCCAAATCAGTGTCTTAATCATTGAGTCTTGTAAGATTATTTGCTGACACCGCACAATCAAAATCTGAGAACATCTTGAAAAAAAATGAACATATAAGATATTGTTCGATATTGTAACAAGATCATAGAAAAAACCTTATAGGAGTAAGACCTCATTGGATCTTGCAGGATCTAACATCTGTTTTTTCGGGGTGGGTGTGAATGTGGCTATAGATGAATCATTTACCCACCCATCATGGTAAGAATTTGAACATATAATTTCACCAATATAAAATCGGAAAATCTAATAAAAAAATTGCTTTTCCATAAAGGTCATAAAAAACAGATCAGTTGTTAATTATGAATTGATTTGGAAATTCGCCAATAATAGTAAAACTGTATTCTGACTATAGATAGCCTATTATCCAAAAATATGCAGCAATATTTACAAAAAACCAAAAATCTCGCTTTCAATTTTGCAACTTATGTCCACATGGTTTCACACTATAGACAAGCCAAGTGAAATTGAAATATAAATACTGACATGATTGAAGCAAGAAAAAAACATATCCTATTATTCATATGACAGAAAAATATATTTATTTACCAACGCTACTTATCTCGATAATCTTGCATTTCAAGTTTTTCAACAGTAGCCGAGAAAGTGTAAATTAAATTAAAATAGATTCATATCTATTCAATAACTTCAACGAATTGCCACCTTGACGTATGTAGATTAGGTTTCGTTTTTAGATTCTTTTCTCCTAAGTTCTTAGAACTAAATAATTGATACAGTTGAGTTTATTTGAAAAAAATTATTTACGTTAATCTTGAACAATTTTCAATATAACCGTATGAAATGATCACTCGTAAAATCCGAACAAGGCTCATAGCTTCAGATTGAAGTAACAACGAATTTAGCTTATTTAGAAAATAAACAAATGTTAATCAAAACTAAACGGGTTGAAATCAATCAATTAAAATTAAATTCTTTAAGATAATTAACATTCAAATAAACTAATATAATTCTGTTTTTAGAAATATAACTGATTTCAATCATTATTTCCATAGAAGATTCGAAAAAAAAATCAAATTTTCTTCAGGTGATTTGACTCTTATTTTAATCATATTAAGGGCCCTTCCCCCCTCAGAAAATCAAATTTTTTCGGAGACGAGTCGAAATTGAAGTTTAATCGCAGGAAGATGCACCGAAATCTCCTCTTTCAGAACATCTATGGTTTATCAAAAAATGAATTGATTTTGGCGAACTTATACGCGGGCAAGGATTTTTCAATAACGACCCCATAAATAAGGGATAATTTTTTTTGTTGAATAGAGGACAGTTAGGGCTAGGTCGTAATAGAGTCCGATTTTTGAATTTCTCTTTTGCTGAAATAAAAAAGTTAGATATTTCATTTTTGTTAGCAGGGTTTTTGGGTACAATTTCGTGGATTTTGCGGAAAAGAGTTTTTAAAAATCAAACAAAGGGAAAATCCAAAAATCGGGCTCTATTACGATCTAGCCCCAAGGGTACTCTACAATCTGAAAACCGCGCGGGCTTGTTAGCTCGTATCCTTATTGTGAAATCCTTGCCCGCGTAAACGGTAATGAATCGACTAGAACTCGTGCATTTCTTTGAGATTTGGGGAGATATTTTAACCATAAGCTATTCTAGTCAAGACTAACATTCTCGGAAATTTTGGTTGAAATCGGATGAGAAATAACAAAGTTGGTTTCTGAGGGGGGCCTTAAAGTAAAAAACCATATCAAATGTTAAAACTTAAAAAATCCGAGATTTCTTCCAAATTTAAACGAATTGAAAGAAAAAAAAATGTGGATCGTTGTCAGTCATTAATTTCTCTTTTTTGACTGCTGGGGATAGTTTATAATTATTTTGCAGTGTATTCGTGTTTAAATGCAGATGCATACATTTCGTTCATTAGATCATAGCATCAAACTTCGAAATATTCATTTTTGAGTACAGTTTCAACAATGATCAATACTGTGATTTTCTTCCTCAAATTTTTATTCTATTTCATTCGTAGTATAAAAACTTTTTCTAGAACGTTTTTAAACGATTTATATTCATTGTGATTTTAGAATTAGACGCAGTTTTTTTTTGTTGTATTCAGGTTTGAATAAGATTTCCTTCTATACATCGAATGGTTATTCTATTATCGATGTTAAAATTTAATTATTTTATTTCATCATACTATTCATTATTGCAAGTGTTTTAAAATTTGCATCTAAAAAAATCTTGTCTATTATTCTACGAA